CTTTATGTATGGGGGTAGATTGTTCTGATTCCACTGCCCATGTCTAGGCATATCTCATCTTAGTTCTTACTTTTAGTACTGCTCAGTTATTTTTCATTCTCATTCATTTCCACAGAGTCCAAGGACACACTACCCAGACCAGGAATTGAACTCACAATTACTATATCACCAAATTCATGAACCAATGCTTTAATCCACTAGGACTAAAATCTTGTAGGACTAATAATAAGGCTGTGAAGCAATCCAGACTTATCTCTCCTGTAGCGGGGCCGTGGCAGTTACGGTTTGTTGTGGGAATGGCGGTTGCCACTTGTTGTTGATAGAAGTCAGACGTAGAAGAAACGCAAGGTTCAGATACTCCTGCCCGCCGAGCCCAACTACATAAAAAGGTTGGACTTTGATTAAGTCCAAAGAAGAAGGTAAAGAAAGCAAACAAAACAAGACCGATAATATATGTATATACAAATATATATTATTAACAAGTTACAATACATGGAAACAGTACAAAGGACGAAGTGTGTGTGAATATTCTGTATGTGCGTGCGTGTGTGAATATTCTGTGTGTGCATGCGTGTGTGTATATTGTGCTTAGCGTGTTTCCACGCTATTCCTTGTTAGCAACTACATTTCGAGGTTGATAGTTGAAATCCTCTAGGAATAAGAGAAATTTACCTCGAGGTGTTGGTGCACAGGCCTGAAAGGAAAAAAGAGATCGAGGCGAAGGGTCATTGGCTATTTATAGCCAGGAAAGAGAGACCCCTGGTGAAAGGGTTACGAACTGAAGGAGGAGTTAACTCCGACACTCCTTAGACAAAAAAAGTATAGGGGGAAAAAGGTTTAGTTGGTGATTTACTTTGTAGTCAAAAGAGATTCAGAGTTACCCACTGGTTCAAATCTCACTTTGACTTTTCATCTATAATTCCCAACTGATTTTATTAACATTTTTAATTAGATTTTTCAGTAATTTATCCCTCCCTGCATCTAGATTTAATCAGTAACTTTTCTTTTAGTTTTGTCCTGGCACATCCCAAAATAGGATCTCACATCACTTAATTCACTGGCTGCCTCAAGCCCCCTTGGGGTGGGGCTACATAATTCAACAGATGAAGAGTCACTCTCTCCTTGTTACCTCTAGAGAATTTTTTTTTAAAAAGTGTTTCATGTGATTTTTATAAAGACATGAGCGATACCTTTAAATGTTTCACTAAATTTATTATAGCTCATTTGCTAACAGGAAGAATTAAATAAAAACATTGAGTTCTTTAGATATTTAAAGTACCTTATATTTTAAAAAAAAATTGTAAATTCTCAAGAACAAAAAATGTATAAATTAATTTTCATATATTTAGGTTTTATTACAATTCTAATCATCACTTTTTAAAATAATAAAGATTGCCAAAGTTTGAAGGTAGTTAAAATTAAATCAGTATCATGGGAACTCTGTCTTTTTGACACTCAGAAATGCCCATTTTTGCTGTTATTATAAATATTTTCTGCTGAAATAAAATCTGATGTCATAAAGTCCTCAAAAATCTTATATTTATAGATGGACTTAAAATAGCATTATAAATAGAAAACAAAAATAGTTTCTAAATTCTCATACAAGTTTTCCTTAGAGACTCACCTTATAAGTTCTACAAATAACCATGAATTACAAATAACCAATTGTTATAATTTATCTGTAGTAACATGTTCTCAATTCCTGTTCCTCACGCTTGCTAAAATATCCTTGAAATCACTTTTATTACAGAATCTTTTAAGCATATAATATATTAAAAGAAAAGAAATTGAGATTATGTTAAAAATGTTGCAACCTGCTTTGTAAACATAATTACATAGGTACAACATACTTTTCAGAAACAACAGTGTATAATGTTTACTGGATTAAAATAATTTTTTAAGTCCAGTCCAGTATTATGTAATCTGAAGTCAATTTTATTTTAGCAGATCCACTTTTATAATCATAAATAAAATCAGAATTTAAAGAACATAAAGTTATCAAGTAAAAGAGAGGAGAAATATATGTTTATTTGATCTATCTATCTATCTATCTATCTATCTATCTATCTATCTATCTATCTAGCTAGCTAGCTAGCTATCATCATGGCAAATTCCTGTTTGTTTTAGCCACATTAAAAGTATGGTAGTTGTTTTTCTGTTCAATACACTTGTTACAGAGGAACTTTTAACATTACATTCCAAATCCAAAACCATATAATTTAATTTATAAAAGAAATTAAATAATCTAAATAAAATAATGAAATATGTATTTTATATAAAAAATTTATTTAGAAAATAAATTCACAATTATGAAACTTAGAATTAGTCAGAGAAAAAGGATATTCTATTTTAGATAACTAATAAAAGAAAAACATCAATAAGTAATTTATAATAAGCTTTATAAAAATGTATTTATAAATATATTTTTATAAAAATGACTTTTTGAAAAGATTTTAAAAGCAAACATTAATTCTTGAAATTTATTTGCAAAAGAACCAATTTGAAAAATAGTGAAGAAATTTGTAGCATTTTTATTTTTGTTTTTGACAATAATCTAGAAAACATAAATAAATATTTGTATTTCTTATACAAAATTCAAATGATACTTTCCTGTTCTGCTTTATATATTTAAATTGCCTTTTTTTTTTTTTTTTTTTTTTTTTTTTCACTTTCTTTATGCTGCAGGCATACTTTTTATTTCATTCCCAAATTAATTCTATGGACGTCACTTGTATTTTCCAGCTGTACAATAAAAAATTATTGATTTGCAATCTGTTTTCCTTTTCTTGTGAATGCATTTAAACATTTGCAGACATACCTTGTGCAATATCATTGTTCTTTTATTTCTTGTAAAAAATACTTTTTGACAAATTTTCATTTTTCTTTAAGAATCTTACTTTCTCAGCAATGTTTTTTTTTTTTAATTTCAACTTTGATTTCTTAAACAATATTAATAATTTTTATTTTAAAAATACAAAAAATACTACAAAAAATTGGGGCCAAAGCGTTAATAAAAAGAATAATATACAAAAACAAGAATACATATGCATTGACCTTACTGTTAGTGTTATAGTTCAAAGAATGTTATTTAAAAATTGTAATTTTTGTCCTAAATTATAATAAAGGCTAACATAAAGAAACATGTCAATATGGCATAAAGATGGTTTAACTGATTTACTGAAAATTCCTTTGTTTCAACAAATCATTTCTTCAATTATTTACTCTTTTCTTTTCTTTTTCTTTCTTCTTTTTTTTTTTTCTTCTTTTTTTAAACAAAATGCTATTGTATTTCTTCTAACATTATTGAAAAGAAATACCTACAAATGACCTAGAACTAGTGGACCATAAATTTAACTTTTTGTCTCAGTCCTTTAACTCAGCCAATGATATAACAATATTCAGAATTTTAAGTCACCCATATTCACAAAAGGAAATCTGTTTCTTTTTTTAAAAAAAACAAAAAACTCACGTCCTATGAGAGGAAGTGCATGTAAATTACGGATAAATAAATGTGAAAAAAAGTCATACATCATTATTAGAAAATAAATAGCTTTTTATGTTTGTTTTAAAGAGATAAAAAATTGACCAAAAGAAATAAATTGTCAAAAACTTTTGATATTGAGTACTTTCCAATGACGTAGCATGGGCTAGGCCGAAGGGGTGATTGCCCCGGGCGCTAAATTTTTAGGGACGCAAAAAAAGAAGTTGTGAAAATACGTACGAAAATCGAAACACACCCTACCCTACGCCACTGTACCTTATTTATTTACAAATGAGATAACGTTTAGAAACTAAAAGTTAAAATATTTGTTTTTATTATTTTTATTAAAATCACAAAACAGGACAGGGTTAATAATTGTTTACTTTTCTCTTATTTCAATACAAGAAAAAAAAACAAAAAAAAATCTGAAGCTTTGTGAATCACACAAACAAATGCAAAAACGATCAATTCCATATTTTTAGATGACTGACTTTCTTCTACATTTTGTAATTTTCATCAAACTTTAAAAAAAACTAAAATCAAATAAAAAAAAATTATTTTTTCTTTTCTTTTTTTAAGATTCCATCAAAACGTTTAATCTTTGCGCGGGTAAACTTAATTACACGCATAATTAAATAAATTTATCTGATTATTAATCTCAAATCAAACATTGATAAAAAAATAAATGTTTGTTAATTCATTTTTAGTAAAGTCAACAACGGTTGTTAAAAATCATATTTCTTCAGTCTTTAAATTTGTCGATTACAAGCACGCTTTCTTTCTAATACAAAGTTAAAGTGAAGTTTTCGTAGGTCAGTGTGCGAACTTTTTACTGAAAAGAAGTCATTACGAAATCAAATCGAAAGGGCAATAAACTGGATCTTCTCTTGAAAAATGTACAACAAGTAGATGACCTATTAAGTAGATCATTCAGTATGTCTAACCCGGATTCACTCACTCACAGTCGTACCTGAGTTATACAGAGAAGCGAATCAACTACGGTTCGCGCACAAGCAGGTTATCGTTGTCCACCAGTAATAGTCAGCCAGTCAGCCAGCCAACTAACCAACCCACCAACGACCACGTGTGAACTGTTGTAAGACCCTCTCTGAGGAGTGGTTCCTACCGTAAACAAACAAATATCCCTTACGTTACACATTATTACAAAGAAATCGTTACTGAAAGCTACCAACTGACGACATAGCCTACAGATCTCTCAAGTCAGTCAGGTGTGGGTCGACTAACTGACAACTCGTAATTCCGGAGTACTTACTACAGGACAAGTTCAGGAAAAGAATGATGAACTCTGTTTTCAGGTGTTCACTATGCTTTGTTCACTTCTTCTCACCACACTAAAATCTTCGGGGGAATTCTTTTCACGATGTCCCTCTTACAAGATACACCAACATCTGCAATACAACTTTGCATTACTGACAATAACGGACCTGAAAACGAAACTGACTGGCATCTGTACAATTATTTTCCTACTACTCTACCTGTTGTTACCCAATGATCAGATATGGATTCTCTATTTCACCGAATAAGACGCCTCCTTGTAAGTAACAATTAAATTAATCAATGACAACTTGCGAATAAACTAAATTCTATAATCACTCATATGATGAAAGTTCGTTCTTTTCAACCATATCTTTGTTCCCCACTTTACATAAAAACAAAGATTAACTCGGTCCTGATGTTCTTTCTCTTTCTTTTTTCTGCCCAACAAAAAAAAGGGGGTAGCTATGTACACCTTGTTTGCTCGATTACTTCATTTACCGTTCTCTTTAATTGAAGAAAAGATTTACATAATATTTTTAAATAAACTAAACATTTATGTGGTATGTAAGTTTGTTTTATTATCTTTCGGTGTTTTCCTTTTTTAATAAACCATATTTTTACTAGTGTTATTAAAAGATGAAAATGCATGCTGTTACTTGTAAAGAGCTGACCGACTCGTTCATCCCCGCTCCACTATAATTTTGTATACGCTTCAGTGATTTTGTGTTGTATATCAAGTTGGAGACAACATTTTTCTCTCTTGTTTATATTGCGCATTGCGACTGCTACTAACGTTTTTATTTTCAAATATGTTTTTCTTTTTTGAAATATTTGATGCCGCAAACAATAAAGGGTTCAAGCCACCGCCATATGGAAGCATCATATACTAAATTTTGTCATTTTTTTGTTCTATATTGTTAATAAATAATGTCCATGCTAACAAAAAGTTCAATTGTCAAGAAATCTTACTCAACAAATTTTGTTTCGGTTTTCTTTGTTAGTACATTTTTTTCATTGAAGTTAAAGAAAAAATTCAATTAAGTAGCAATGTGCTGTTACTTTTGCATAGTTATATAATGAAGCCATTGATTAAAATGACAATAACACTCGACTAGTAGTAAATAATAATTTTTTTATCATTGATTCAATGTTTCATTATTTACTCAAAAAACGAAATCCGTAAATATCAAAATTCAAAATACATTTTTCCCGTATTGTTTGTCTATGTCGTCAATCAATCAACTGTTGATTTATATTCTAAAGTCGTAAATAAAATCTGATCTTAATTTTTTTTACAATTAGCCAAAAAACATTTTCCAAATTTTAAGATAAAAGTGCAATATTGCTGTTTTAATTAATAATACCTCTTGCTCGACCATGTCTTTCTTTCTTTATTGATTGTAATAAATGAAGGGAAGGGTCTTGCTTTTTACAAAGTTCCATTGGTTAACAAGAATTTGCAAAAAAGGAAGCGCAGTCCATTTCTCTTTGTTAAGAGAAGGAATTCAAAAATTAATTCACATGAAGATCGCTCTCTCGTGTATGACTTTTCTTATTCTGCTCATATAGAATCTCATCTCATTGGTCAACAACAACTTGTTACTTAACAAGGCTGTTTTGACACACGACCATAAAGGATGAAGCACCCAATGTAGAGAACTCAGCAAGATTGATCTGCACTCTGCAGGAACCATCTTAGCCATTTCACTACGATAAAGTGCCCAAGTTTCTTATTATGCACAAAAAGAATATCGATCAGTACGACACAAGGCTAGAATTAAAGAGTTCTTATTGATGATCTGATTTATTAAACTTAAACGCTACTCCATGGAGAGACGTCTAAGAAGAATTTAAATGAGAACAATAAATTATCTTTTCTAGAACGGCCCCTTACTTGTAAAATCTGTCATATGTGATGTTCTTTATAGTTCATTAATAATTGTTATATATTTATAATTTATTTATTCCTATTACTATATCAAGAGAGAAAATCTGTTTGTCGAACACTTATAATTGCATAGTTAAACTTACGGTAACAATGTATATTTGTAACTAAGTAGTAATAAGTTAATGGATTGAATTAAAGGAAAACTATTATTAATGAATGAGATTAGATGACAATTGCTTCCTGAACAACTTCATCTGTGAACACGTTTTATTGCAACTTGAAGACAATATCATACACTGTTTATTCTGGAGAAACTTGGACAATACATCTCATCTATAATCAATAAGAAAAATATTTTAGAAAAAAAATGTGTCAACTCAGTATCCATGGTGATGCAACAATATTCTAATTCCAAGTAATATTGTTTCTACAGAGAATCATTTAAATTTCTGTTAAATTTTTTTTTCTTTTGTTTCTTATGGTTAATTTCTTGAAAACCTGTCAAGGCAGTTTTTTCAATGATAATTCATAAATTTGAATGCAAGTGAACATTTTTTTATGTATATATGCAGCAAAATAGGATTATTCAGAAATATCAAAGGATTGTTTGTTATACATACTTTTTTGATTATTTCATGGGAATATTTGTCAAAGTCTTTAAATGTAAATTTGAATTTACAAAGTCTTAAATTCTATTACATCACAGCTGACAACATATTTGTTTTCATTATAGCAGAGTGTCAATGAATAAAATTGATACCAAGAATAAATTGAATAATTGGATAATTGAGGATTAATTTATAATTAAACCTGAAAAAAACAAGTTTTATTTTACATATATATTAAAAAAATATTAAAGATGTACATTTTAATTGCAACTAGAAGAAATACAAAAAATAGTAAATATTTTGTTAGAATCAAACTATGGTTGATTCCATAAATAAATTTGTCAAGTTTTTAGTAATTGGGATTTTTATTGTGTCGCAGTTTTTGTTGCTTTAAATATTTACACCTCATTTTAAAACATTTTAATTACAAGAAAAATAACTCAAGTGATGTGCTGTTTTCGCTTTTTAGGTCATTTACTTTGTTAATTTTTAAAAAATCTTGTTGGTTCTTGGAGAATCAGTTATTTTCTTTTCTTCAGTTCCTTTTGATGTTGATAAATGTCAATTACTTGAAAGATATGACTTAGGTTGCTAAACTTGCATTTTAGTGAATATAAGAAGAGAACATTGTGATTTGCCCAAACTTTAAGGAAATGAATAAAATATTCTTGTTTCTATGATAAATGATTTTATATGTCAATAGAAAATAGTAAGATTTCTGTTAGAAGAGGTGCTGACAGGGATCTACCCGGAATTTGATCTTTTTTTTTTTTTTGACCTACCAAAATCATTGTCTCCGTCTATCTGCAATTGCCTGCGGCTGATTTAAGTTTGTAAGATGAATATTTAGAGAGTCCAAATTAGATTTTTTTAAAGTTTTTAATGGAAGGAGTTTATACTTACATTATATTTATCAAATTTGAATGTTGCTTTCTTTAATAAAGCTCATTAAAATATTAAAATGAAACTTATTTAACCAAGTATTGTTCTCTCAAGGACATAGAAAATGATTTTGATAAATATAGTAAATTAATTACATAATTGGTTTGTGTGTGTGTGAATGTGTGACTATATATCAAATGGCTAAGATAAGATAACATGTTTATCACAAAAATAGCATAAAATTAAATATATGTATAAGTATTTTTAAAACAGTTTTTTCATAAAATGAAAGGAAAATAGAATACAGATGAAATCTAGCATTTATTTGACCATTGTTAAGCTTTACTAGTTGCACAATGAAGATTAAGATTAAGAATTAGATCATCAGTTATTTATCAGCATATACTGTATGTTTGATTTAAAAGAAAAAAATGAATGATATTCCAAGTAGAAATAAGAGACAACAAGTATCTAAACCCATGATCTAGAAAGTAGGGTCAAGCAACAAACAAAATGGCATATTTACATTACTGGAATTGTAAAAAATATGATATTTTAAGAATATTTAAATACATAACAAAAAATAACTGAAAATTGAATTTGTTTTAGTTCAATGGTTAGAGTAAAAAAACTACTAGTTAGGTTATCTACTAAGTGGATAATTCTCATTACTATCACTGATCTTTCAACAAATGATTTAGTAATTTTATAATCAATACAGTACTTGTAAAATCTGCAAAATACTCTTTAAACAAGTTTGTAACTGTGATATAATTGGGCTTATTTTAACATTTTATGTTTTTCGCAATGAACTCTTTAACTTTTTCAATGCCAATATTATTTCTTAAAGATATAACATAAGATATTTCAGAAATAATATTAATATTCTTCTTCTATGTGCTGTGTCCCTTCAGACTGTGGGCAATCATGGTTCTCCACAAATTCTTCACTTTCATGGTTCTAAGCAATGTTTGTAACCTTGCTATCCCTCCCAGTCCATTTGCACGAGTTCATTAGGTACATTACTCACTATTTCCCTCAGCACCTCTTGCCTTCACCATATCATGTTGAAATGATCACCAAAGTTAAGCAACATCGAGCATGTTCAGTACCTAGATGGGTGACTGTTTGGGAATACCAGATGTTATAAGCTTGGATGTATGTGTGGTATAATGGATAATGGCTCAGAATTATTAATCATAGAGCCAGGTTCCAATTCCAGTCAGGTTCGTTATATTCACTTACGTACAAATTCCCTTAGGAAAGGTATGAATCCACCTCTCATCCCCCAAGCTATGAGTTAATTCGTAAGATGTATCACTAAATCATTATTATCTCCCCAAAAAATATTCTTATAATCTTAAAATATTTTCTGACTTTAAATAACCTGCAAAGTGTTGATAAGCTGTAGAAAATGAATCATTCAATCAATTGTGTCTTCAGTATGTCCTGTAAGTTCCAGACATTTCAGACATGCTTCTGGTATGAAGCACATTGCCATTTTTCTTAAATCTTCCTTGTTGCTTACATGTTCCATCCATGGTATTCTCAGCATCTTTTGCCATTCTAATGCACCTTCTGTATTACATTTTCGATCATCTGTTATAACACTTCTCTAACAGTAAAATTTCTGTACTAGTTTGATTCTGTCATCTCCAGTACGTAGCTTGCACCTTGTCCTGTCTCTCTTGCTGACAATACCTTTTGTCTTCTTACAGTTGATAGTTGCTCCTTGCTTTCTTTAACTACCTTGTTTATGGGTTCCTGCTGTTCTTATTCTGTGTGTGTCATCAACACAGTGTCATCTGTGTATCTTATGTTGTTAAGATTGTGTCCACCACTAATAAATTCTTTTAAGACTTCTAGTTTTCTTAGAATTACTGTGCTGTAAATTTTCAA